CACCTCTTCACACTGTGATCTAGTATGTACCTTCTGGCTTCTGGCCAAACATCTTGATACGTGGCTTGTACAGGCAGAACTATAGGCCACTATTTGCTTTACTACCTTAACCCTTATCTGTACAATAGCTCTACAAAGCCCATCCCTCAAACGACTTCAGTCTGGCAGTAGTGAGCAGTAATGACTTTCCCTAAATGTGAACATGCATTTAGGAACATTTTTATTGTATAACCCTACAGAAATTTTCCATTTGGAGATGTTATATTTTGCAGTGAGAAAAGAGCAGGCAAGTAAATATACAAATAAGTATCACATAGTAAGTATCACATCACATACTTGTGTGAGGAACTAAAGAAACACAGCTGAGCTATAAACAGAATCCATCCAACACGTTAAGGTTCTTTTGAAATAAGTCTAGATATCATTAAATATTGGCCTACCCTAATGCAAATGCAGCTAAGGTAATGATAAAAACTGTTAAATAATCATTTCCTGGCAAAAAAATGCTATGCTTAAGTGTCCTCAAACCTATCTGCATGTATAATATCTACGGCCTTTGAAAACCTACTGCAGCTTACATTGGCCAAAGTAATGAAAAATTAGGACAAAAATTAGAACATAGGTAATTAAAAATAAACAAACATGAAATTTTCCACAAATGTCATGCTTTTTGAAATCATTATCCTATGCTGTTTTCAACTACACACATTTTCAAAAATAATTTGTAACATACATCAATGTCTGATGGATGCTGAATATAAAATTTAGAATGAGCTTACATACTGACTTACAAAGTAACTGCTATCATGATCACAACTAATGAGACTAAATTTTTGCTACATCTGTCTATGCTGCTTATAACCTATATAGACTAAGAAAGATCTAGTACTTAAAACAGATTACGAAATTGTTTACTGCACCTGTACAATACTATTCTGATACATTTTCATGAATAACCAGCTGTTCAAATAACAACAGTATAGCTAAAACGGAACCAATACTCTTCCCCTGCAACTTCTTGATTACATTCAGGAGCATAGCCTGGCAGTTGAAGTATAATCCAAGTACAGGAGTTAATTTTCCAAGATTTCAGGCTATACAATGAGATGGCCTTTGGTTATAGTTCTGTGTGTTCTTCTCCCTTCCTGATGAAGCATATCATGAACAACCTACATGCTCTCAATTTTGAGGCTCTGCATGGCTTATACTAGTTCTACTTCTTAAATCTGAATTGCTGCTCTACTCAGATACCCAGTTGTCAACACGTAAGGAAGAAAATACGAGCGTTTGACTAGCACTTCAGGCAGGAAACAAGCTGTCTGTAAAAATCCTCAGGGTGACAATGCTTTATCCTTTAAATATACCCTCCAAGTCTGATGCCCATGAATCATTCCCCGATGTGGAGATAAACCATGGTACTTGAACTTCTGCATCTTCTTCTGCTCATAGTATTCTCACAGATCCCTTACGCTTTCCCAACCCATTTCTTAACATTTACATGCTGTCTTATCTTTACATTTAAATTAAGAAATTGTGCAGCAGCAACCTTTGCTGCAGGTAGTATAATGGTGCCCTGGCCTCTAGGCGCAATTACAATATAAATAATAAAAATGAACTGTTCACCTAAGATTAAGTCCCCTGACAATGCTATTCAGGAAGCTATATCCTTCAAACAATGATAAAAAGCTGTTCCAGCATCAAGCTAAAGCTCAGTAACTCACCAGGTACTGACACCACTGATTCCCAATTCATCACCTATAGGAAATGTGAACTGTTCCATTCCCTGTATGTACCATGTCCACAGTACCACCAGGATTTTTACTGACAGGTAAAACACAGGATGACAGAGACTTGCGTAGAGCTGTCCTACTGAAGAACCCTGTGCTCCCTTAAAGTAGGCCTACTTCTCCTACTTCTGGGAAGAGTTGAGAATCACTGGCATCTCACAGAAGCAGACTCAAGGCAGTTTTCCATCTGTCTGCTTAAAACTCATTGAATTTGCTTAAAAACATGGCCTTCAAGGAGGTAAAATAGCAACCTACAGCACTCTCCAATATGGTATTGTTCTTTAATGGAAGCATCCATAGCTGAGGAATTATTCTACTTTGGCTTTGCCAGTTTAATGCAGGGCTCTCTCCTTTATCATTACTTAGACTGAACATTCAGTGGAACATTTCCTATAATGGGATAAAGCAGTTGAACAATTTGACTGGCTAATAGTGATTTAGACATGTGATTACAGTACAGAAAATGGTCTGACATATGCTCTTTTATCTGTTTTACATGAGGCACATTAATCCAACTGGAAAGCACAAAAGTGAAAAGGAAGATAGGACCAAGCAGTCCTAAGAAAAACTAGAAAATATTTTTACTTCTTTTATTTCTGCATTTGTTTAGCTAATTGTAATCAGTATTTTGTATATAGAAAAACTTACAAAATAAAACTATTTTCTCCCCTAAATGGATGCGACTAAAAAAGACCTGTCTATACCTTCTCCATGAAAGTTTGAAAACAACCATTTTTCATAATATCATAGTTTTAAAAGAATTTATGACTTACACTTTTACCAACATTACAGGTTTTCCATAAAAATGCAGAAGGACACTCAGCACCGCACCCAGGCAGGAACAATCATAGTGTGAAGAAAGGAAGTATGGGCTCATTTTAATTTTTGTCTCTGCTAATTGTATTTCCAGCTCTTACACAAATGCTTATAGTCAGGCCAGCATAAGTACATATTTTTACAGAAAAAATTAATTTCCTCCTAAAATTACCTGACAGTATTCCCATGACACCAAAAACCTAACTGGTAAAAAAAAAAACAAAAAAAAACAGGAATTACCTCCTTAGCACCCACTTTTCATCAGAATTATGTACAAAACCTCAAATTGGCCTAAAATACATCAATTTTCACAAATGACACCACTCTGGTTTTTGTGCAGACTGGTACATTTCAGATGTATTTGCATTTTTCTTCCAAAAACTTCTTTGAAAATAAAACATTCAAAGGTTTCCCATGTCAGGTTTGGATTCTACGCGCAGAACTAAAACCAAAGTACTTAAAACTAAGCATAAAGGAGAGAAGCACAAGAAATTTACCGCACGTGTATGTTTGCCAACTACTTTCAACTACAGCTGTATGAAAATTTGTATTGAGCAAATATGTAATTATTAAAAGAGGGAGCTGCAAACAATACATCACCATCAAAACCAGGGATGAGCATTAAAATCTCTGAAAGGAAGCCTTCATCAACGACAACAACAACAAAAAAAACATATATCCCAAACTAATGATAGTTCTGTCATGGGATATTTATGTAACATATATTTGTGAAGATGAATTTGTACAGAAGCAAGCATAGTCTTTGCCATGTGTTTAGGTCCAGCCCAGCAGAATCCCTCGCTGGTGTTTTGGACTTCCACCGTGACATTATGGTGGGATTCGATCTTAAAGGTCTTTTCCAACCTAAAGGATACCGCTTCAGAAACCTGCGGTGAGGTCTGGAGCGGATATTTAATGAAGCGCCAGCAACTCACCTGGTTAAATATACTCGAAGGGTGTCAAAATGAAAGCGTCCCTTCAAAACAAAGGGAAAGAAACTCTGGAAGCCCGAGGCTCCAGCAGACTCGACCGCGCAGAGGCTATTTTGCTAACAATCATCACGCTTCTCCTCAAAACGGGCTGGCCCAGCTTTGCCCTATTATTGCTGCCATCAGGTTATGTCATGGCAAGACCCATCCTACTCAGAAATAACCCGCGAGGACCGCAGCCAGCGCGGCAGCGGCACCTCCACGGAGGCGGCCACAGGCCCCTCGGAGCCCAGCCCTGCACCTCAAGCCTATCAGCGGCGGGGCGGCCATACCCGCCGCTTTGCCCGGGTCTCTCGTCGGGCTCCCTGTACCCGCGCCGCGGGAACTTGTGCGCGCCGGCCCGGGGATGAGGCGAGAGGAGCGGCCCCTCAAGAGGGGCTTCCTCGGGGAGGGGGGAGGGCGGCACTCACTGGCCGTTGGGGCTGACGAACGCCCGCGTCCCCTACGGGGAGAAGCCGCGGTGAACGGAAAGCTGCCAGGGCCGGGGAAGCGGCACCCCCACCTCCCCCCCGTGTGTTTGTTGTGCTTCGGCACTGTCCCGCCGGCGCGTCCCTCCGTGCGAGGCGGCCGGCTGACAGCTCCCCACCTCCGAGCACACGGCAGGGCTGGCGGCGGACAAACTCCTGCCTCAACTTTGCGTGTGCGCCTCCGCACCCGCCTGGGTGTGTGTGAGGGGGAAAGGGGGATTCTCCTCTCTCCTCGCCACCCAACGAGAACCGTCTTTTCTTTCCCAAAAAAAAGGGGGGGGGGGGAATCAAAAGGAAAAGCGATGAGGAACTACCGTCAAGCACAGAGAACAGCCAGGAGACGCTGAAGGCAGCCGAGCGTCCTGGCGGAGAAGAGACCCAAAAAGGAGAAGGGAGAAGGTGCAAAGGCAAGGGAAAAAGAGGAAGAGGGAAGAGGGAGAAGAGCTAAAGAGAAACTCCGAAGGAGAAGAAGAAAGGAACAGGGACGGTGAAAGAAAAGTGGAAAAGGGAGAACAGGCGGAGGAAGACAAAAGGTGAAGAAGGAGGAGGAGGGGAAAGTGCAAAGGGGAAAGGAGGAGAAGAAAGACGTGCCCTTCTCAAAATGGCATTAGGCAGGAGGGAGGGGGCGACGGGCGGCGAGTCTCCGCTGACAGCTCTGTCTGCGCCTGGCCGCCGGCCCCTGCCCCTCTCTGCCTCGCACACACAAACGCTGAACTTACTTCTTTCTGGCTCTCTGGAAAGGGGAAGCGCCATCTTTGCGAGGCCGGCCCCTAGGTCTTTTGTCTGTGGCTGCTGCTGCTGCTGCTAGGGGGGGAGCTCCAGGCTCGGGGGGCTGCTGCTGCTGCGGCGGCTCCACCACCGCCACCACCAGACTCTTGTCCTCCGTTGACATCCTAGTCAGCAGGACGAGAGAGACACATGGATGATGATGATGAGGATGAAGATGAGGATGGTGATGGGGATCCCGATGCTCCTCCTGCTCCCGCGGCTCCTCTCCTCCTCACCTCCGCCTCCTCCACCTCCGCCTCGCATTGCTGGCCTCAGCCGCCGCCGACCAGCACAGGTATCAGGGGAAGCAGCATGGGGAGAGCAGGAGGAGGAAGGGAGGGAGGAAAGGAGGGGGCGAAGAGAAAGAGCGCAGAGGCAGGAAGGGTCTCACACACAATAACACCCCCTCCCCGGCTCGGCGGGGTCTTCGGGGCTGGGGGAGGTGGCGGGCGAGGTGAAGAGAGCGAGCGAGAGGCGGCGGATCCCGCCGCGGGGCGCCCCCCCCCCCTCAGAGGCCCCGGGAGCTGGCGGCGGCTCCGGCTCCTGCGCTGCCCGGCTGCGGCGGCCGCCGCTTCATTGTACACTGGCCCTGCGCCCTCCCCCCACGCTGAGCCCGCGGGGGCGGAGGAGGAGCAGGCGGCGGAGGCGGCAGGGGCCGAGACCGAGCGGAGGAAGTTTTGACAGCTCCAGCTGTTGTGTGTGTCGAGGGCTCAGTCCGGCCGGGCTCCACGTCCCCTTCCCAGCCGGGCCGGGAGCAGGAAGTTTAACTTTGGGGAAAGAAGGAGGAGGAAGGGTGAAAAAGGGGGAGGAGGAGGGGCTGCCTCCCTCCCCGCGGGGTGGAGAAGGGATCCCGGCGCTGCCGCCGCTGCCCTGATGTGTAACCCCCCTCCTTTCCCTTCCCTCTCCCCCCGCCAGTGCGACACATAGACACAGGACCCGCCCGCCCGCCGCTCTCCTCCCCCGCCGCGGCCCCACACTGCGCCTGCCCGGCCCGCCCGCCGTCCGTCCCACGGCGCAGACACCCATCCGCTGCCGACACTGACCTCACGGGCTGGCTGCCGCGGCGGGTTGCGGGGAAAGCGCGGAGCGAGGACGGAATGGGATGAGACGGGACTCGCCGCCCCGGGGAGCCCCACGCACCCACCCCGCCCCGCGGGGGCCGGCAGCCCGCTTGCTTCACCACCCTCTCCCCGCCCTTTTTATTTATTTCCCCCAGGGCCCCCCTGGAAATGAAAAAAGCCCCATCTGTATGTGGGATGAAAGTGGCCGCTTCACATCGGGGTGCTCCCGCACCGGGGCTGAGCTCCCCGGGACGGCGGCTTCGGGGGCAGTGCACGGTGGCCGGCCCGGCGGCGCTAGGTCCTCCTGGGGAGCAGGGGCACGGCTGGCTGCTGCCTGAATGCGGGGAGCTCCCCCCTTCCCCCCGACGTGCGTCTAGGGCGCGGGGCTGGTGGGGGAAGGAGGCAGCGAGGAGCCGCGGCTGCCCCGGGGGAGGGGAGGGGAGGGAAGGGAGGGAGCAGAGTTCAGCACTGTGTGCAAGGGAGACAAAGTCTGGGGAGCGTGGCCGCTTTCCAGCAGCTCCGGCTAGAACAGCTGCGGCCGGTCGGGGCGGAGGGAGGGGAGGGGGGGGGGGGGCTCCCCCGGGCAGGGGCCTAGCTGGCAGCCTGCCCGCCCGGCTGCGCCGCGGCTTGGGGCGGGGTTAAGCCTCATTACACGGGATTTAACGTGTCCCGGAGGCCGGGAGGGACTCCGGCTCCGAGGGGAGGGGGAATGTTGTATCACTGCAGCCGGAGAAAAGTCCGGCCGTGGGGCGATGAAGTGGACCGCACTCCCGGACTTTCCTCCCGGGCCCTGCCCCGGGTGGGAGCGGCCGCGGAGTGGATCGGGGCTGCCGGTGCGGAGTAGGCCGTGCCGCTGCCCGCCGAGGGCCCCCGCCGCCCGCCTTCGCACCAGGCGCCGCCCTGAGGGCAGCCCCTGAGGCGGCCTCTTGCCTCCCTCACTCCCTCCTTCCCCTGCCTGCCTGCCTGCTTGTCTCTTTGGCTCCCTCCCTCCGCGCTTTCCTCCCTGCTGCCTGCCTCCCGTGGTGGGTAGCGCCGCGGGGCCCCTCTCCCCAGGCCTGGGCCTCCCTTTCTCCTTCCCCTGTGTCCGGGGCTGGAGCTGCGGGTGTGAGGGGTAACTCGGTGCAGAGATGCTGAATCATGACATCGGTCGTATGAACGGAAAAGAAATGAACCGTGCTGCCCTGCAGCGTGCAGGGGTCACTCGTGTGGGGCAGGCACGTTTGAGAACTTCGCCGGACTTGGGGAAATCGTTGGGAGCGATACCTCCGAGACTCCGAATACGTACAAATTTATCTTGAGAGCGCTGCGCTCTTTCTCCCTTGTCATTTAGGTTTCTGTTCAGTGTTTGAATCCCCGTTGGTAAAATGGCCTAGGGTAGCACACAGGTACGACAAGGAAAGGAGGGTAGGAGGAGCTAATGTTAGTATTTTTATGACATAAAAATAAAGAGAGGAATCCAGACCTTTATGCTGTTCTTCCCAAATTTTTAATGTGTCAGCTCCAGGAATACTATATTAAAATGGCATGCTGTGGCAAATATGACTTCTGCTGGCCAGTTTTCCTGGGAGCCATTTCATAATAAAAAGCCTTTGTTGGTGCATTCCCTAGGTTTTTGAGTAATTAAATTAGAACTTTGTGACATTTTCATATTTATATGTTGAGATAAAGGTTTATCTCTATCTATACTCATACTTGTATACATGTATGTATTTAAAATTATGTAAAGCCTTCCCTTTTGGTTAGCCACGCAAGGACAACAGCTGGATTGTTGGCGTCATTTCTTGGCCTTATTACTGAAAATGTACATATTTCTACCAAACTGAAATACATATCCTGAGCTAAGTGTTTGTATGAAGTTGGTAAATGACAGTGTAGGTATACTGCTCAAATGACTTCAGGTATGGGAACTTAATCTGTTTATATATTGTCTGAGACAGAAGAAAGTGCCTTTGAATTTTGTTAACTCAGGCAAGTTAGCATAATTTAACTGAAACCGCTTGTGCCATACAGGCCCAGACTTGGGTGGAGTGGAGAGGAAAAAAGCAGGGAAGGGGAGGGTGATGTAAAAGGCTACAGCCTCTGCACAGTGGGATCGCTGGTGTGGCATTTACTCGAGTTGCCAGGTTGCCCTCTGGTCTGCTAAAAATAATGGCCATCCCCTGAAACACTGACTGTGCATGTGCGGCTCTGCTGTACATGCGCAATGGCCTGCGTGAGTATGGGATGTGTCAGAGCTACTATGCATGGGCAGATTGATGGGACCTGAGACACGTAAGCATGCTGTGGGCTCAGATCAACTGCTGTAGGTGTATGGGGAATAACTGTCACATCCCATAGCAGAAACACAGTGAAATCACCATATCCACTCTTCCATGCATGGTTCACCCAGTCGTCCCATGCAGACATTGTTCAATAGACCACCTAAAGTGGCTGAGCTTTAGGCTTTGTTTCATCCAAAAGCAGATGTATATTTATTTCTTTTTTTTTTTCTCCGTTGTTTTTTATATTAACTATTTATATGTGACTAACAGTATAAAATCTGAGTGGAGGCAGGATGAAGTTAGTTCTGGTGTAGCGTGGTCTAGGACAAGAGTGTGTTAAGGGTCTTAGGCCTATTCCTCATGCTGCTGTGCCTCATCTCAGTACATGTCCAGACAAAGCTAGGCAGGTCTGTTCTGTGAACTGCTGCAGTCACTGCCATGGCAATCAAAGGTGCGAAGAACTATGTAGGACTGAGAGACTTGTGAGGAGGAACCTGAAGTGGAGATGGAATTGTAGGAAACTATATTTGCTAGTATTATTTATCACTTGGTGGAGGCAGCGGGACAAGCTAGGAGAAATTGTGTCACCAAACATAAATTCACTATAGGAGTCCTTTGTTGGTTCAGGACATTTGAACAGCTCTGTCAGGAAAATTTTTACATCTATTTATGCCTAGCCTACACCAGCCACCTCTTATAAATATCTCTATCTGGAAAACGCATTTTTACAGCAAAGATGCAATATTAAATGAACATGTCCTCTGCTTTTACTGAATCTTAAGAGATCCTCCAGTTCATTATGGAATAACTCAGGTAAACCAACTCACCTAACTTTTTTTAATTCTCAGGGCCAAGCAGCTTTGAAACTTTCAACAAGAGTTTTATGTTCTAGCCTTCCTTAAACATTTCTGGGGTTTTGGAATTATTTCTGAAATGTGAGACCTTTGCAGTACTGATTAAACAATGCATGCTAACAGTTTTAACTTCAAAACGTAAGTTCTCCCAATATGCTTAAGACAAAGAGTGATACCTTCATAATAGAATGAGTTGAAGACAGGATGTTGTCTTAAATTGCCTAGTTAAGGAAAATGACAACTGACAGGTAAATACCATTGTAGCATTATACAACTAATGTGGTGTATGTAACAAAAGTAATGAGAAAAGTCTTTCAGATTGTATCGGGAATGGGATCCAGGTACTTTCTCTTTTCATAGAATCACAGAATGGTTTGGTTTGGAAGAGACCTTACAACTCATCCAGTTCCAACCCCCTGCCACGGGGGTTGGAAGTGGCACCTTCCACTAGACCAGGTTGATCAAAGCCCATCAGGCGTGGCCTTGAACACTGCCAGGGATGGGGCAGCCACAGCTTCTCTGGGCAACCTGTGCCAGGGCCTCACCACCCTCACAGTAAAGAAGTTCTTCCTAATAACTAATCTAAATGTACACTCAGGTTAAAATCATCCCCCTTGTCCTATCACTACATGTCCTTGTCAAAAGTCCCTCTCCAGCTTTGTTGTCAGCCCCTTTAGGCACTGGAAGCTGCTCTGAGGTCTTCCCAGAGCCTTCTTTTCTCCAGGCCTAACAAGCTCAGCTCTCTTAGCCTGTCTCCTTAGGAGAGGTACTCCAGCCCTTGCAGCATATTTGTGGCCTCCTTTGGACTCACTCCAGTAGGTCCACCTCCTTCTGATGCTGGGGTCCTCAGAGCTGAATGCAGCAGGTGTCTCATGAGATCAGAGTAGAGGCGAAGAATCCCCTCCCTTGACCAGCTCCTTTTGATAGAGCTAGTACATGGTTGGCTTTCTAGGCTGCGAGCGTGTATTGCTGGGTCATGTTGAGCTTCTTGTCAGCCAACACCCCAAAATCCTTCTCCTCAGGGCTGTTCTCGATCCAGTCTCTCCCAGCCTATGTCTCTGCTTGGGATTGCCCTGACCCATGTGCAGGACTTTGCACTTGGCCTTGTTGAACTTCAGG